ATTGACTGTCGTTACCAGTACTGACTGTCATGTTACAATCACTGACTGATTTCACTGCCTTGTTACTAGCACTGACTGCATTGACTTCATTGTTACTAGTACTGACTGCCCTGTTACTAGCACTGACTACATTGACTGCCCTGTTACTAGCACTGACTGCAGTGACTGCCCTGCTACTAGCACGGACTGCACTGACTGCCCTGCTACTAGCACGGACTGCACTGACTGCCCTGTTACTAGCACTGACTGCAGTGATTGCCCTGTTACTGGCACTGACTGCATTGACTGTCCAGTCACTAGGACTGAATTCATTGACTGCCCTGTTACTAGCACTGACTGCATTGACTCCTGTTACTAGCACTGACTGCATTGACTGCCCTGTTACTAGCACTGACTGCATTGACTGCCCTGTTACTAGCACTGACTGCATTGACTGCCCTGTTACTAGCACTGACTGCATTGACTGCCCTGTTACTAGCACTGAATTGCATTGACTGCCCTGTTACTAGCACTGACTGCATTGACTGCCCTGTTACTAGCACTGACTGCATTGACTGCCCTGTTACTAGCACTGACTGCATTGACTGCCCTGTTACTAGCACTGACTGCATTGACTGCCCTGTTACTAGCACTGACTGCATTGACTGCCCTGTTACTAGCACTGACTGCATTGACTGCCCTGTTACTAGCACTGACTGCATTGACTGCCCTGTTACTAGCACTGACTGCATTGACTGCCCTGTTACTAGCACTGACTGCATTGACTGCCCTGTTACTAGCACTGACTGCATTGACTGCCCTGTTACTAGCTAGTGATTTTTTTCTTCATTACTCAGCTAGAGGGTAGGGGGTCTGAAGGGAAAGACAATTAATCATCCTGTGAAAATATGATTATTTTTTAAATTGTGAAAAGTTCATTAACATCTAAGACTAACACCCATTTAATGTTTCTGAATGTGTGTGGTGGGCTGCTATAAAAACATTGAATGAACAGTCAGCTGTGATGATTGAACTCTGCCCTCACCTAATCTATAACACACATAAAACCCTGAGGTCAAGAGACAGCAGCTGCAAATACACTACCGGTAGTCTTTTTTAATGAGTAAACTTTGGGGATAAATTATAAAACAAGACTAAATATTACGCAAATTCTTGATTTAATATTCACAAATTTATACTAAATAACCATTCAGACATTTATTTGGCATCTGATAATCTTTTTTTAAAATAGTGCAATCTCCATACTACATGGTACTTTATTTATGAAGAAATTTAAATGACAATGCTCATCCAGTAATTATCACTGTTTATTGTGAACCCTATATGATATGCA